ATTACCCATGAGTGCCCTTAGTTTTTGTATTAGAAGACATGGAGCGGTCATTTGTTTTTCACATTTTCATCTGCATGTTGAATAGGCCTGGTCTGTTTCTCACTCTGGAAGCCATACCATCCCTTTGATCATCCCTGTTTCTCTTGTGTTTCATGGTACCTCTGCATACAAATGTTACCAGGCTGCATGGAAAAAATCAGAAGAGGCTTTCAATGGTATCATCTGCTTTATTTGCCTGTAATTTTTTACACTCTTTTCATCTAATACTTCTCCACATGTATGGCAGTTTCCTTCAATGAAAATGAAATTCTGTCCTGCTCTCGAGGATTGCTTATGTGAGCCGTTGTCTTCCAGTGCCTCCTCTAAGTCTTCACAGTTGCATATACCGTCTTTCTGTCATATGAAGCCCCCAGCAATCTACAAAGTAAGATATTAAGTCAGTGATCTGAATTCAGATCTCCCAATTGACAGCGGAGAGCATTATCAACAAGGCACTAAACTGGCCTGATAAATAACAACTTCTGCATTTTATTCCACAGGGATTTTTTGCCTCATGATGTAGGAGTTCAGTTACAGCAAGCAGGTTTTTGTGCATTGAAACAAATGAATGAAAGCAGCAAGGGTGAAATCTATTTTGTTTCATATTTTATTGTCTGGAAACAGATGAACTCAACTAATTAATTAGTTCATAGATTTCTAAAGTTACAGTCATTAAGGAAATGCTGATTGTATTTCTGTACCATTGTAGGTGTGTGTGATGCCTTATGAAATACCCAGGTCAGATTTTGTATGCACCAGACATAATCCCTAGGAATTATCTGAATCATATTTATTTCACTTTGATTTTCTTCACATTGTGAACATGAGATAAAAGAATGTATTACTCTCAGGTAGTTAAATTGGGGTCCCTGGGATATTCTGTGAGCATAAGATGGATAGAGCAAGTCACGTTTTCATCAGCCCCTTGATAGTGCTGCTAAACTTCCTTTTTGCGTGCTGGAAGGAAACACCTTCGTTCTTGGTAATAAGGAAAAGGTCTGATCCACTGGTTGGCAAAGCTTTTATCATCTGTATTTCCACAGTTTTCTTTGAGTGATGGAAAAGAAGAACAAGAACAGAACCTGTCCATCAGTTTCAGATCTCTGTGGTAACATCTCTGGATGTTTACCACTGTAATTGAAAAATACAAATAGCAAATTCAGAATTTAAACCCATGACTTAAACTTCTGACATCCTAGTCAGTTCACATCTCTAACATTTCAACTCCGAACTACTCTATTAACTTGGTTTTGCCTAAAGAAGATCCTCCAGCAGGACATTTCATTCTGATGTACAGACATTAAGGGTTAGAATTTTCATTAACTTCAGATACTGCTGGTGTACATGTCTACAGCTAAACTAGAAACCCTCAAGTCCCTTTACATCAAATGAAGAGAACTAGGCAGGTTTAGGCCATGATTCACCTGGTCTTTTTAAATGTTTACTAAAAGCTCAGGAGACTTGCATCATAGGATTATCCATTTCTCTTTGTTGTTCAAGAGGACCAAGGACTTTCAAAGCAGTTATCTACCCTGTAGGTTTTAGATGGTTTGGTCAGATGTTTCATCAGATCTCTTCTACCAGAAAGACTTTGTGTTTTCTGGTGCCTTGTTGTTTTGTGGGGGTTTTTTTTCCTTACTTCTTGTTACTATTAAAAGCGTTATTTGTTTCTCATTTGAATTTATTTAGTGAGGCTGGTGCAGTTGATCTTTGAGATTTCAAAATTTATTTTGGACAGAATTCAATAGAATTTAACAGAACTCAGTACTAAGCCAAACGTCACAAAATTCATAGTGAAAGTGGAAACAGATTGATTCGAATTTATTAATAGTATAAAACCTTATTCTTCCCCTTACTGCTGTTTATTTTCTAATTAAGGAAAGGTTAAATAGGATCATAATGGAAATTTGTTTGCACATGTGGTATTATGAAGATCTTAGTCAATAATATACCAGATAATCTATTTATTTCAGCAGAAAATCTGAGCCTTCAGTTAAACAGTTAAAGTGCAATTCTTAACAATATGCACTGTTCAGGGAATCCAAGACCCAACTATGTAGTCTCTGTTATGAATTTTTTCAGGTATTATATCTTGAATTACTTGCAGTCTCCCTTTTTACCCTTAAAATGTTAGATTTTTTTATTTCTTCCAGGGGAATTGAAATCTGTATATCTGTTGCATTAATTGTCTTGTAATTAATCTTTTTTATATATTAATTTTATCACTGTATTATGTTGCTTCCTGATAAAGCTTGTATGCAGAAAATGTCCTAAGTTTCTTAAGCCATTTTGTTTGTTGAAACAGGCACATGGTCTGAGTCTAGAAGTACTGCATGAATTTGATTAGCTGTATCGTTCTACTTTTCTCACTGTTCTCTATTGGTAGAGTGTCACATTTGTCACTGTTTAGTTGGAGTAACAGTTAATATCTCAAAAAGTTACATTCTGCAAATGGTAAAACTTACGTCAAAGAATCATAATTTCTTTGTAGAAATTCTCCATACTACAGAAATGCTGTGCTGGTTACTCCGTTACATTCCCTCTCCTTCTTGTGGGAGACATAGTTGGCAAGTCCCTATTGTCCTTCAATTTTTCCCTAGTGCAGCAATCTCCAAACTATGTGGCTTGCACACCCCATCAGTAAAAAATTTTTGAAGTCACTACACCAATGTATAAATACATTTATTTATAAATTACATTTATGTGTTATGGCAGTTCTAATATTTTTCTTCTTGCACCCCAGCAAATGGTCTTGTGTACCCTCTTGGGTGCATGCACTCCACTTTGGAGACCACTGCCCTAGTAGAGTCCACTGGAGTCAAGGACAGAGCTGACAGCTGGTAGATAGTGGCCCCAGGAGAGAATAAATAAATGAAGTACAGAATCACTTATTACCCACAACCATCTTAAAAGACAGACATCTGTAAATGTTACTAGAAAACATATCCTATAAAATAAGTCTTATACAAACATCATAGCTGGCATTGATAGCATGTAATTAGCTTATTGAATTTCAGCATATGCCCTCCTTCACTTTGATTTACATAACCTAGTACTGTGCAGCAATGCTCAGTGCTTCATGGGACCCCAATTTTTGCTAATTCAGAGTTCAGTAAAATGAAAGAAGAGTAAAAAGAGATTCCAGACAAGCAGCTTTGTGTGTACTATTCTACCTATTTCATCACAAACCTGGATTTTAGGCTCTTAATACACAAACTTAATTAACTACATCAAGGAGCAACAACTGATTTTTCAGAACCATAGTTTTATCTTAGTATAGGTGCCACTTGTAGATACATGTATTTTCCACAATATTTTTTTTTAAGTTACTTTTTTTCCATGATTTTTCACAGTTTGTTTTTTTCTTTCAAGGCTACTATTTTGTTAATATTTAGAAAGGGTTTATCAGTAATCATCCTCATGTACTATTTATACATGTTAAACATAATTCATCTTTTCACTGTTGATTATTACCAATTATATGTATAAATTGAAAACAATAAGTTTGAGACAGCGATTTCTTATGGTACATAAAATGTCTCCTTCCTAGAATCCCATGTCAGGGAATTACATATTACTGTTCAACATAGGCTTATGGAATGGATCTATAAGTATGTGTATAAGTTATCAGGAGCTTGACAAGATCTTCATTTTGAATTATGGTGTTTCTTTAGTTTATGGATTTCTTACAATTCTGATAGCAACATTCCACTATCAGTGAACTCCTAATGCATATCTTAAGGAAATCTGTCAAAGGTTATTGCTAAGTTTTTCCAAAACTACTGTGTCATTTGATAGATCTTGATAATCTTCAGGAAGAATAATGCTGTGTGTGAGGCTGCAATTTGCTGCAAATAATTGTTTGCATTACATCAACCTATTCCCTGTTATCAAACTTTTTGCTGCTGTTACTGAATTAATTTCAAATTCTGGGTCTAAAGTTAGCTGTATGTATAAATTCTGTTAAGGATAAAAGATGAGATGTGAAAAGTGATTCAAAAGTAGGGTTTAGATTTTGTTACTTTTGCCAAATGCAGCAATAGTGAAAAAGAATTTCATGTTGTTTGACAAATATTGAGAGCATTTAAAAGGTGTTTCTACTACATGTGAGATAGAAGACAAAAAGACTTAATGGATATTGCTACAGGTATGCTTGGGATGCTGGCGTTCCTACATGCTTCGCTGTCTTGCCATATATTGAGCTATTTGCTTATCTAATGCTTGCCAATGAATTACAGTTTCCTCTCCAGGCCTTCTTTTGGAATTGTGTTCTGATTAGTGCATTACTTTATTCAGAATTATTTTTTTTATTCTACTTTGTTTTCTTCTTGCTTGAGTGGTTATTATTATCACAGCTACAGGGGGAAAAATACCAAACCAAAATAATACAAAACATAATGACAAAGATAATGAATGCAATAAATGTTGCAAATGTTAAGCTTTCATAGTTAAAAATTTTCTCTTATGACTATTCATTTGCAAGGCAAGAGTAGTGTAATGGAATAATGTATATACCACCCAATGTCATCCTCATCATAGTTTCAAACCCAAAATATATGAGTATCGTCAAAATGAAGAAAACTTGTGATTGTAGTCTACAACTATAAACCAAAGGTACTTCACAGGGATGTCATGGGATAAAAGTTCTGCACAGACACATCTGTAAAGATTAAAAATTGTGGCAATCTTTCTAACTTTGCATCTTCTGAGTGCAGTCCCTGTTAAAATGTTCTTTATGCTTCTGGCAATATGCAGATGCTAGAACATTTTCATTTTCTGCGTAATTAACTTGAATGTTTGAAATTAAATATGTATGCATGCTTTGCAAATAACGTAGTTGATTACACTATTCACAGGTATGCAGAATTAATATTTTTAAGCGTGCTTTGCTGGTCATATTTTATTTTATCACTTTATTTTGTAATAATTTAATAAAGTTAGCTTTTGGTTATTCATTACAGATACAGCACTGTTTTTTCCATCCTTCACTGGAAATTCTTATTTGGAACTACCTTCTCTGACATCTGTATCTGAGACCAGGACTGCATCTGGGCAGGAAACAAGCAATCTGACGACTCTGTACTTGTCAGTGAAAACAACTGCTCTTAATGGCACAATTCTTTACAGTGAGTACCAATGATACTTGAAGTTAAGTATCAGTTTTAGCTCCTTCAGGTCCTTATTAACTTTAGTGTACATCAGCTGGCGTTTCCTATTCAGCTGCAAAATGAGTCATTAAACTGCAGTAGAAGCCTTTTGGTATTCTAATGTGTGATGCATTATAAAATTTGAAAAATCCTTCTTTGTGTTCCTCTGGAAAGTTCTTTAATTTATGACTCATTGAACAAAATAAACTTACAAGTGAAAAAGATGCTTCCTGACAAGAAAGAACATAGTAAGCATATGACTCCAGTGATAAGTGTTACAACTCTAAAATACAAATGTTAAAGAAGTTTTGATCAATTTATTACAGAAAAACATCTCCATAACGAGGTTGTGATCTCGGTTCAATATATAGTTTGATTTGTGGAAGTATCTTAGTTTCTGAAAATTTGCCATATTTTTGATTTCGCAATTCAGAGGATCCTTTTCTGGTCCCTGGAGAGCATACTTGCAGAGTTAGATGTGTGCTTGATAATACCACATAAGAATGTTCCTTCTTGCCTGCATATTTCATTCTTCAGTATATGGCATGAACTTCTGAGACAGTGTGCTTTTCATTAGTCAGCAAGAGAAATAGGCTTCTCTGCCAGTTGAATATCTTATCACATATTTTATATTGTAATTTCTATCCAAATGCAAAACCTGGAAAATGAAGTGATTTCTTCCCAAATCCAGGAAGAGGTAGAGAAATATGTTTGTGTAATCTATGCAATAGATTTACTTCACAAAGGGAAAATCATTAGGATTCTCTGTTCACAGCAGTTTCCTAAGGCTTTTCTACACACTGAAATCTTGATTTAATATAAATTATTTTATTTTTGTTATTGACATATTAATATGGACATAATATATGTGAATTCACCTGCACTATGTCAATATTTATAAGCCAGATTTGAAAATAGTATAAGCTCCATGGTATTATTTAATTATGCTTTCTTTAGGTGTAAAACACTGTAGCCCAAACTGAATGTTTATGTTTACTGCTTTTCAAAATGATATATCAAATCCTATTATGTTATAGCTGGCCTGTTGCTGCAGCTGCCTAAGCTGCATGGCTGTAAAATTTGCTAAAAATCATGGGTAGGTGGCATCTCTTTAAGTGTTTTATACTTGTTAGTTGTTTCAATTTGCAGAGAAGTTATTTGTCCTTCAAAAGGATTTCAAGGAGGGTCACTGGAAGTACTTTGAATATATTTACCTCATCACTCCAAAGTAGTTGGTTTCCAGCAAGAGTTAAAGTAAAGCTCGCTATCTACCCATAAGCCCTGAGTAAGCTTGTCTGTTAAAAAAAAAAAAAAAAGATCTAAAATGGAAGCTCCTTTGTTATTCTGATGAGGAAGTGGCGTTTTCTGAAAACTTGGATAAGTGTACTCTACTCCTACAAGCAGAGACAAATTTGTTTCTATCAGTACTTGTTGGAAAGGGACTGTAGTGATAGAACAAGGGGTAATGGGGTCAAACTTAAACAGGGGAAGTTTAGATTGGATAGAAGGAGGAAATTCTTTCCTGTCAGGGTAGTGAGGCACTGGAATAGGTTGCCCAGGGAGGTTGTGAATGCCAGGTTGGATGAGGCCTTGGGTGAGATGGTTTAGTGTGAGGTGTCCCTGCCCATGGCAGTGGACATGTCAGTGAGGTGTCCCTGCCCAAGGAACTTGATCTTAAGGTCCTTTCCAACCCTTACTATTCTATGATTCTATTAAAAAGTAGCAAATTCATGAAGCAAGGGAGGGATGGTGGCTGGCTTTGAAACAGAAATTACAATGCCGGATATGTTTGTTTAGTTTACAACTTCACCATTTTACACAGAAAGAATTTCCCTATCTTTGCAAACATCAAATATTCAAAATTTGTAACTGAAAATCAAACTCCAACTCTTTCACTATCTATGTTTTCCAATAATTACAAACACATATGTGGATGCCTTCTTTGTACACTGTGGGAGAACACCACAGCAGCCATAAATGACTTGCATTACACTCCTTAACTTTATTCTCTGCATCCCAATGAATCTGCTTCTAGCATTGTTTGTATGTATATATATATATTTATATTTTAAAAAAAACAACTTTACAACCCAAAACTGATTTAACAAAAACACAGTTCCTTTATGCCTAATTCAGTTATATGCATTCAAATACTGGATAATTTTATGGACATTTTGATGTTACTTTGTATTTAATTAGTGCAAAATAAACCCCACCAAATAAGATGGAGGGACTTTCGTCTATGGATAGAGTGAGAAGAGCTTTTCTCTGAATTATAGCCATGAGAAGGTTGAAGGCTTATGGGCAAGTACTAGGGACCAAGGCAGCCAAGGGGATCTTGTGGTTGGTGTCTGCTACAGGCTGCCCAAACAGTGGGAGACTTCTTACTCCAGCTACAGAAAGCATTTCACTTGCAGGCTCTTGTCATCCTAGGGGACTCTAACCACCCTGACATCAGCTGAAAATGTAGCACAGCGAGCTGTAGGCAATCCAAGAGACTCCTGGAGTACATTGAGGATAACTTCTTAAACCAGGTAATAGCACTACCAGAGGGGTTGCAATACCGGACCTGATGGTCACCAACACAAGTGTGCTAATCAGTGATGTCAAGATTGAAGGCAGTCTGGGCTACAGTGGTCACACACTGGTGGAGTTCAGGGTCATGAGGAATATGGGTCAAGCAAGGAGTAAATTCAGGACCCTCAATTTTAGGAAAGCAAATTTCCAGCTGCTTAAAGAATTAGTAGGACCCTGTAGAAAACTGCCTTCAGGGACAAGGAAGCAGAACAGATCTGGCAGATCTTGAAGGACACTTTCCATAGTATGCAGGAGCTCTTGATCCCCAGATTTAAGAAATCTGGAAGAAACTCATGGCTGAGTTAAGATCTGCTGGTCAAACTAAAGGGCAAGAATGAAATGCATAAGAAGGACATGGACCTGTTTGAGTGGGTCTAGAGGAGGGCCACAAAAATGATCAGAAGGATGGAGCACTTCTCCTATGAAGACAAGCTGAGAAAGTCGGGCTTGTTCAGCCTGGAGAAGAACAGGCTCTGGGGAGATCTATAGCATTCTTTCAGTACCTAAAGCAGGCTTCCAGAAAAGATGGGGACAGACTTTTTAGTAAGCCCTGTAGAAACAGAACGAGGGGTAATAGTTGTAAACTAAGAGGGCAGACTAAATATAAGAAAGGAATTTCTTTTGATGAGCATATTGCAATACTGGAAGGGGTCTTCCAGAGAGGTGGTATATACCCCATCCCTGGAAAAACTCAAGGTCAGATTGAACAGGGCTTCGAGCAACCTGACCTAGTTGAAGGCATTGGACTAGATGACCTGTGATGGTCCCTTCCAACACAAACTATTCTGTGATTCTACATACATTCTTTTCTAGATAATGTACTCATCCTGGATTTAACCTCATAGCTGTTCAGTTATGAGTTCATGCTTTCTGTGGGAAATTGCTAATGCAAGATTTTGAGGTGTTTACAGAGATTTTGTTACAGCAGAATTTGAGCACTTCACATTCTTTGTCTTTGCACTTCTAGAAAGGTAGTATGATACTAGTGCTTTCCAGTTACCGATATCTGAGACCTCCACTGACTTTGTCACAGCTCCCTTCTTGTCCCTTCACAAACCCAGACAGAGGGAAGAAAGGAGGGTCAGAATGAAATGGTATGAGTTCAGTTCTAACCCGGACACTGAGCTGGGACAGTTCCAGGAACTTAGGGTAATTTTTCATGATTTCTAGCAGACGTTTTACTTACATTTTCTTTGCTGTCTCTGAGAAACCCATCATACTTGAATCTCTAACATTTTCTAAATGAGTATAATATGCATATACAGATTATGCTGAATTTTGTAGTTTATTATTTTTTTATGCAACAAACTCTTCTGTCAGATAAATATACATAATATCATTCATGAGCTTATATGCCTCCTCTGTTCTTCCTTCATCTGTTTTTTGTTCCTTGCTCTGTCTTCCATTTTCCATTCTAACAATTTCAAAAGAGAAGCTGCTGTTGCCAGCTGTTCTCCTGCTTCTGCTGCTGCTGTGCTACTATCAAACAGCTGAGAAATGAACTGTCAGCAGAAAGTCATTTTGAGGCTAGTACACTCACTAGAAACAAGAACTAGAGAATTACAAAAAAAGTTTAATGTTCCCTACATTTTCATATTCTCTTAATATACAGATGTTAACAATAGCTTGTGATTAAGGTTGCAACAAGTTTCACACATTCAAAAAGCAAATATCTTCTGCCTTTGTCCAAAATATTTTAAAAAATAAGAAAATCACAGTGATCTGCATGTGTCATGTGTATTTTACTAGAAAATAATTACAATTTATCTTTTTTTAATTATTCCGCTTGCAGATCTATCCTTTTTACAAGAACACCTAATTTTACCAGGTGGTCATGAGGTTCCATCCTTTTCTCTAGCAGATAATTAGTAAACATTTAATTTCAATGAGAAATCTCAGACAAAATGCTTTTGCTGTACAAATGACTAGAATCTGAAAGCGTGCATAAGAAGAATATTTAATTCAGAATCTTAAAGGAAAATATGAAAGCATTAAAACTTGCATTTATCTTTATGTAGTATACCACCCAATGAGAATCAAAAAGGTGATCTGTGCCTTCTTCTCTTGTTCATATACATGCATCTTAAAATAAAGTGAACACTTAGAAGTACTGATGCATTCTTTTCATAGCTTTTAGCAGCTGATGTAAATACCCATATAAAAATACAAATAAGAAAAATAAAATATGTATATACATAAAGCAAGCCTACTTATAGACTATATAGGCTACCTGATAGGCAGAATAGAAGAATCAGTTAGTGTCCTGCACATGTCACTTTACTGATGTGAGCTATATTGTTGGAAAACATTTTCCTATTTAATACCTTAATTAAAGAAGATTTTGTCAATTGTTGGTTAAGAACAAGAAATGCTAAGGACTAACTGTTTTTGTAGAGGCTGGCAAAAATAGGTTGTTAAAAACATGGGGAAAGGGATAGGATGTAAGTTTACATCCTATTTGTAGAAAATTGCTCCATGTACTGGGGGCACAGAAAGTAACCCAAGAAGAAAGGGTTAGCATATCATATTTAATAGATTATAAGACATCATCTGTTTTAATACAATGACAAATCCACTTTCCTTCTTACTGATTATGTTTTCCCTAATTATTTTCAATATGTGTTTAATAAGCATAAAAATAGTAACAGTCAATGGGCTAACATTGTTTGGAATTTTTGTCTGGACCTTGTCTTTAATTTATTGGTAGACTGTGAGGAGATTTTTCTTTAAATATGTCAGAAGAAAAAAAATTCAAAATATAAACAGTTACTATATTTTTGCCAATAAAGATTAGACATAATTTGAGAAATATTTCTTTGTTGAATACAGTTTGCATTCTTACCATTTTTTTTATTTCATTCCTTCATGATTTTACTTGTTTGAATGCTTTAATTTAAAAAACATATAAAAGCAAATTGTGGCATTTAACCACAAAGCAAAATAAATTCAAGTAGTCATAAAAAACCTAATACAGTTATAAAGCTTCTCTTCATCATTGCCACTTTTAACAGGGTTAGCGTAATGCTGTTCACAATCCCTTCAAGGACAGATTGTTTAACTTCTAGTATATATGGCAGTTTATATCTTCTGACAATTGGATTTCAGGTGGCCCAGCCCATGTTTATAGCATTCCTTAAGGACACCGTCTCCTTTTTCATAAGAAATGCTTTCAGTATCTCTGTTCCCCAGTGCTACTTCCTCTCCTAAAACCAAGAATGGTCATTTCAGGCAACTCAGTCATAGTCTATTTGTCTTTCAGCTAGCATTCTCAAGCAGAGCATTTCACAGTATCCTTCCTCTGTGTCAAAATGTTTTTGCATAATAAGGCCTCATGCCATAGCTTAATAGGAGTTTAAATCTGTCTTTTTTAGATAGACAACCATTTGACCCCAGTGGCCACTTGCTTGCAGTCATACAAATATAGCCTTCCACCTTGCCATTTCCTGTGAAAGGATGATTGCTGAGACCTGGTTTCTTTGACCTGATCCCCTGACATAATCTCTACTAAGGTTAAGATAAGTTACCCTTAATATCCATCAACATTTTTTTCACTCAGATGGTTCCCTATCTGTGTTTGTTCCTGGAATATGTCTCTTGTGCTTAAGGGCTAGGGCTCTTCCCATGGAGGCAATTTCCCACCATATATGCTAAGTACCATATGCTCCTTTACATTGCCTGAACAAAATTTTTCACAGGGACACTCTGCCTTTTCGTGTTCACTGTAGAATGATTTGAAGGACTGTCCTTTCCAAGGGTCTCATACGACCTAGCAGATAATACGAAGAATGATATTAGTCTCCAGCAAGTGTGACTTATAAGCACTCCCTAGGTTGAAGTTCAGGCATTAACATTTGCTGAAGTTTCAAAGGGTAATACTGCCTTTGGAGGATCTGTCACAGATTTTTTACTTAATAATAATAATAAAAATAATAATAATGACCTACGTCCAAGTTTTTACTAATGGGCCATATGAATGGACAGACAGATTCACTGGGAGAAATGATCTATTCATCTGTAATTTTGTTTCTTCATGACATGTTGTCAGTATATACATTCACAACCCTCCCCACTTCTTTCTCTCTGAATTCAATTTAGCTTACAGATTTGCTTATTGATAGAAATTAGAAATGCATGGAACAGCATGTGCAGGAAGGGGAGAAGAAGATAAGGAAACGAATGATGCAGTATGTGCATATATCAGTTATGCTGGGGTTAAAAGGCAGTGGCTTTTTTAACTGCAATATATTTTGAAAGAGAATTAACAGATTATTGTAGGAGGAAAACATAAAAGACAAAAGCATAAAATCCAGTCAAATTAAAGAGTCTTTGGAGTTAATTAGGTATTCAGAATACAAAATATGGCCAAGCATAACAGAATTTCAGGGGGTCATCAGGATTTGTAACAGACTCTGTTGACTAGAAAGCTTCTCTAGAGAGCAGAGTTTACTTTTTGAAATGTTTTTCCTATGAATTATACAAAAGCAAATGATCAGGAAGTTGTTAGCACCTGTTGCCCCTCTCTATCTGCTATTACCTTTTCCTTTCCGTTTTGTCCTCCAAATGAAAATTGATCCTTTTCTCTTAACAAATCAGTAGGCTTTCCAGCAGGTATATGTTCCAAGTACACCCACATTCTTTCTACCTTTCTGAATAAAAATGTTAAGGGATATTAAGCTGTGTTCTCCAGCAGCTCCAGGTCTGGAAATCTTTCTTACCCAGCCACTGGAACCCAGCCCAAAGACCTGATCTCCATCCCAGTCTGACTGGCATGGCTGTTGCTTTCCCATTTGCTGTTTAAACTATGCAAAGTTCATCATGTATGCCAGAGGCACACAGGCGTGTGCACACATGCAGACACACAGAGAACACTACACAGCTGGCTACACAGTCTGCCATGGGCAAGGCACTGATTCCAACAGCATTTGTCTACAGGACTCACAAAACATGGCTGTAGAAAGTCAAATTCTCTTTGACTGGTAGAGATTCAGTGAAGGCACACACATGGCACTTGCTAGATTTAAAAGGACGTGCATTCATGGGTTGTTCCTCCCCAGCTTCCTGTTTGCATAGCTCCACCAACACAATCCTCCTCAGTATCCTGGACCCCCACGCTGGCACCCTTCTCAATTGCAAAGTCCAGGTTAGCACTCTGAAGTGACGTCTGAAGTTTCATAATAGTCCATCCATTACTGTGACTGGTAAGACTGGTTTCTGTTACTTCTGTTCGTTGCTTCTGTTACTGTTTTCTGTGGCTGTTTGTCACATTTGTGTTTTGCTTATTGCCTTCCTTTTTCCTTATCTTCCCATTTTGGCACCCATTATCGGTCCTCAATAAGATAATCTTACTGAAACAAGCATTCCCACACACTGCATGCCCATACCAGTTAGTGTAAACCACCAGGCTTGGTTCTTGTTACTATCTCCATTTGTTGGTCGAGTTTGTGCCTCTGTATGTTTTGATTTCGCCCTTTTTCCTTATCATCATGTTTGATAAAGTTGTTGATCAGGTAATCTTAAAGAAGAAAATGTTCTCTCCTACCACATAAAGTATTCATAAAGTATTTATTTGTATATTGTATGTGTTGTGGTTTTTTCTCAACTGAACTACAGATAAGCTGGAGAATTGGATATAGGTAGGATTCTGGAAGTTAAGAAGAAAGTAGTAACCTTCTGCTCAAATACTGCTGAAAAAGTATAGCCAGTAAATTCAATTTCATGACCTAGCTATTGTGCCTTTTTTACTTCAGTTAAATATGGTAAAATATAGAGCAAATAACAGATTAATATTTTAACAGCTTGCCTTAATGGGGAATAAAAATCCTAAACAGGAACTGTGTCTTAGCTTCTATGAGAAGTAAGTACAATTAAATTCAAAGGTCAAATTCATAAAACATTACCCATTCAAAATAATTTGCCATTGTAGGTGTTATCAATGTGCCACCCATAATTTAAATAGAAATATTTTGCTGTGATCTTTACAATACACTATTCAGTGGAAGCGAACAAAGACTGGAAGATTATTTTTTTTTTTAATATACTTTTATCCTTAGTTTGAACTGTGCAAGTAACAGCAATTACTCTTATCAAGTCTGACATGTGTCATTAATTAGGAAAGGTGACTTGTTTATGATCTTTACAGAGATTATAAGAACAGGGAGATGTTCTCTTATAATCTTTGTTTTCTATAATATGGTTGAAAGCTGAATGAAATAGTAAATCATGATACAGTATTTTTGTTATTTGTTTGGTGTTTTTGTCTCACCTTTGGCACCTTAATAATACTCCTGAATATAGAGAAATGTTCACCTTCAATTAATGTAAATATCTCTTTAAGGTTTATGCAATTACACTGGTCTAAAAATAAGTTCTGTCTTTTGGTTATTTTCTTTTACTTTGTCTTGTTTTCAGCTGTTGATACAGAGTTTGCTTTTATTCAGACAGTCACTTAAGCAGAGTCCTTTATATTGATAGAAGACTCCTCAACTGCAACACATAATTGTCATAATTATAATAAGACACACGCATTATGACTGGTGATGGCATTCCAGTAGTGTGGAATAGTTTTGGAAGGTCCTACACTTTCAGAAGTGTGACTATCTCCATTTTTGTTTTCAAAGCTAGTGAAAGGAATTTTGGAGAACAGTTCCTGCACTTGTATATTGTGGAAGGAAGACCAACAGTTCGATTCAGCTGTGGAAACTCTCAGAACATTCTGACTGTATCTGTCAATCAATCCATTAGCAAAGGTACACTCATCCCTATCACAATAAGGTAAGAACTTACCACTGTGTTGCACTGAAGAGTTTTAGTCATATATATAGAGAGAGAGCAATGAAGTCTGACTTCACCTTTTTTTTTTTTTTGACAATAAAAAGACAAGACATATTGGAAAACAAAACTGTATGCACATTTAGAAAACTTTTTCATAAGGTAGTGTTGTTGATTGAAAAGACATTTTAGTTCATACATATTAGTTCTGCCCTTTGTAGAACTGAGGAATCATTCAAACTTCAGACACTTTTACAGATACAGATAAAGCCAGTTTGAGAGCTGAAACAATTTAGACATAACACTGGAGGTAGTTCATAATTTGAGCTACCAAATTGCTATCAAATTGGTAGCTCATAATTTCTGCTTATTAATTTCTACATTGAATAAATGACACTTGGCATCAGAATTCTCATGGTAAATATAGGACTAATTTATTTTTAAGATGAAAAATTAAAAAATTAGCATGCTAACAACATCTCGCAGTGTAGGCTGGACTTGATGATCTTAAGGGTCTTCTCCAACCTAAACAATTCTATGATTTTATAAGCTGTCATTGCTACATATGCAACTGTCCTGTCAGCAGTATACAGTGGTTGCTGTTATTTTTAACCCAGTACACACAATAGTTCACGGAATGGTTAATTTATAATTTTGGAAAATATATTGGTATCATGCCTTGTTAAAAGATTAAATGCTTTTATATTCATGGAATTTCATATGTGCTAGTTTGGAAAAAGCTATGAATAAGATATTATAGATGCTGTGTTATATTATGAAGTAACTAATGTTTATCCTAGGAATGGTTTAGCAATAATTCTGACACCTATATAAATTTTAAATTTACTATAATTAAGATACTATTTTATTTATTAAATAGTTAAAATATCAGAGCTAATTGGTGCACCTGAACTGTAAGAATTTATGATGTCAGGGAACTCATTGCACACGTTATTAAATTAAAGGTAGTTTTAGACAGGACCGATTTTCGTGTTAGAGGAGACTGAAAAAGTTACTCTAAAACATGCACATCAGAATTCTCAAAATTGCTTTTAACTACCAAAAATGAAAGTAAAATCACATCTAAAGGTTTTTGTATTTGCCTTCCGAGATTGAGATGTCAGTATATTAAGTAGATTGATATGGGGAGAAAGGACTGTTTAGTCTTTTTTTTGAGCTATTCTTCTCACCCCATAAGCTTTACCATAATCTTTTATAAACAAAGTTATTAGAATGTAAATATAAAATGTCTTTTCAACATATGGAAGAATGAAAGGATCTATCATTTAAGAAATTGTTCCATTTCCGTCATATTTCTTCTCAGCCACAGGTCTATACATTACTCTTGTGCTACATTTAGACCAGTTTTTTTTCTTTCATTTTATATTAGCATTAATCCCTAATATTAATGAAACAAAGTCACATAGCATGCATTCAAATCTACTTACATGTTAGTTGAAAGTATATTAATCTATTTTAGGGGTTTTGTACAAATTGTAAATGTATTTTAAATTTATAAAAAAATTCTATCTCTTGCTATCCCTAAAAGACAACAGATAAAGATTTATTTTTCCCTTTGAAGACACTTGTTAGAAGTACAAAGCTCAATATTAACAAATAATTCCAAAGGGTTTTTTTAATTGCAAAGTCTACTTTTGTGTGAGACATTGCCCAGCTAACTGTCGGCACTGTATTAGCTGTGGTAGCACTGTGTCTCTGCTTTGTAAGATTGAGACTTTAAAATGCTGTACAAATTTCAAAGTCTAATAATAAACAACAAATGCAGCTAAATGGTATTGAAAAGATTGATTCTAGTTATAAAGTTCATGTTCACAATAAAAAAATTTCCCTCGTTTTCCAGCTTAAAATTAACAGTATACAGTTACATTGAAAAGTAATGTCAGTTCAATTTACACTTTACCTTTGTTTACTGGAATTTATACTGCTATCTTTAAAAGTGGCATATTAAATAACTTGCAAGGTGTGATTGTAGACTGTGACTGGTGGGGATTTACATGCATCTGAGTTTACAGGCTTGGCCTTCAAAACGACTAGTGATTATTCTTGTGAGTCCTTCCAAAATGTAGAGAGCAGTATATCCTTCACCAAGCAGCAATAAACTTATAATCCTTCAGCAATCTTCCTTAACCTTTGCCAAATTAAAAACCAAATGACAAGGCATTTTTGCCCACCCAGCCTCCCCCCCCCGATCTTGTATCATAACAGAACTATTGATTTGTGTCCTCTTAGTGACTGCTGAAGATAGATAACTATATCAGTACATTTTACCTGCATAATTAATGAGGGGTTTTGATTTCTTCCCCCCCCCCTGTAATGCAGGAAAAGAGACACACTGGAAAAAATAACTTTTTTTGTTTCTATTTGAAAACACTCCAACTGGGAGGCAATATTTCTGTTAAACTTGACTTCTAATAGGTCTATAAGATTTCATTTCACAGATATTACAGTTCTGGGTGCAACTATGGCTCCAGTGGATAAACAGTGTAGTTAACACAACAAATAATGTCTATAAAAAAGATTTTAATCTTCTCAAACTTCTTGTTTCTCCATCCACAATGTGCAGGAAACTAAGATATACTCATAGTTTACAACTACTGCTTTCTCTTAACTATGTAGTTATTTTTCTTAGATATGGCCATTTCTTTCAAATCCGATGAAGATTTAATGAGTTTTAAATGCTCAGACATTGCTTTTACGGTCCTTGTGATATGACAGCTTTATAGGAAAAAGCTATAAAACTCTGATTGCTTGCTTTTTTTTTTGCCTTGCCTGTAGAAACTAGAAACTGGTTGCAATGCAGTTTTATTCTGTGTTTCCATTTATGTTTATTTTAGAATAATTTGATTTCTGGTTTTCAAAATGTGCATTTGTTTGGTTTTCAATTTTTGTGATTAGATAATTGAGATTGTATTGAACTTTTCAGTTAAAGCTTTGAGCACACATGTGAGATGTAGTTTAGATTGCCTTTATGGATTTGTTCCTTAAAGTTATTCAAAGCATATTAGTTCAAACACATTTCATTCTATATGTGGATTCTGAAATGTGTTTCCTCGTGCAAAATTTGCTGTATGTTATATGTGGTTAAAATGATGTCATTGTCACTGGGGACAGATGGTGTTTCTTCAATTCAGTGGTTAAAGGAAAGTAATTGTAACAAGCAAGAGATTTAAATGATCAAGTCACCATTGATTCTTTGAGATAGTGGGGTGGATTTTACCTTTTAAAGCAGGAATGCTTATATAATTTTTTAAACATCTTACACTTTTCTTCTCTAAATTTTATATTTTAAATGGTAGTTCATTAAAAAATTTAGATTGTTCTAGACAACAATGGAGGATATAGATTCTTTTCTGTTTGGAAGATTCTAGGCAACCATTAATTAAAATCTTGCCTATGTGTTATAGTGTCATTCTGTTCCATTTTATTTACCTGCAGAATTGTCAGAATTTTGCTGTGGAATTTAATGAACATAGTAGTCATCCCCACAGAGCTTTATCAATGTATTCTGTATATTAATATTTCATGTATCTTCCAAGTGAACAACCCCAGGTTCCAGCATAGGTTGGGGAACGACCTCTTAGAGAGCAGTGTAGGGGAGAGGGACCTGGGGGTCCTAGTGGACGACAGGGTGACCATGAGCCGACACTGTGCCCTTGTGGCCAAGAAGGCCAGTGTCATCCTGGGGTGTATTAGAAAGGGGGTGGTTAGTAGGTCGAGAGAGGTCCACTCTGCCCTGGTGAGACCGCATCCGGAATATTGTGTCCAGTTCTGGGCCCCTCAGTTTAAGAAGGACAGGGACCTGCTGGAGAGAGTTCCGCACAGGGCAACTAAGATGATTAACAGAGTGGAGCATCTCCCTTATGAGGAAAGACTGAGGGAGCTGGGTCTCTATAGTTTGGAGAAGAGGAGACTGAGGGGTGACCTTATTAGTGCATATAAATATATAAAGGGGGAGTGTCACGAGGATGGAGCCAGGCTCTTCTCAGTGGCAAACAATGATAGGACAAGGGGCAATGGGTACAAACTGGAACACAAGAGGTTCCACTTAAACTTGAGAAGAAACTTCTTCTCAGTGAGGGTGACGGAACACTGGAACAGGCTGCCCAGGGAGGTTGTGGAGTCTCCTTCTCTGGAGACATTCAAAACCCGCCTGGACACGTTCCTGTGTAACCTTCTCTAGGTGTTCCTGCTCCAGCAGGGGGATTGGACTAGATGATCTTTTGAGGACCCTTCCAATCTCTAACATACTGTGATACTGTGATATCAAATGTAGTTTCCAGTTTTCTGTCACACTTTAATTAGTGGTATGGATGTAAGCATTTACTCATGGTTGAAATGGGCACCTTTAGCCATCCATAAAAGGCTTTATTTGTTAAATAAATTACTCAGTTAATGTTGTTTGCCCAGTTCTAGCCTAGGGTCTCCTTACTGCAGACAAGTTCATAGTGTATGAAATCACATGTCATTCTGCTTTTCTCTCAGATAAAAGGGCTATATCACTATGGAAGTGATTGATACGTGCTGTGCTTTCTTATTTGCAAGTTAGCAAGCTATATTAAATGTCATTTGAGTACCTGTAAGGATGTCTAGTCCAGAAGCTAAAACAACTGATGAAAAAAAAAGTTAAAGAACATTTAATTACTTATGTAATTAGGTGTGAGTTTTCTTCAGTCTTTTTCAAATACATACATACCTATGTAAATTTTTAAATGTGAACTATAGCAACAGTTCAGTAATACTGATAGCAGTATTACTGAAGTGATAGGCATCGACAGATCTTCTCACAGTTGTGAACAGCACCCTCCATCATAATGATGTCTACTCTGAGTCACATGGAATACAGTCACCTACCTGAAACCACAGGGAAACATAAGCAAAGTATGTTTATGATATTTCAAAGATTAAAAAAAAAAAAAAAGAGCTGTTGACTACTTATGCTATTCAAGAAATATTCAATGGCTTGTAGTCATTCCATCTAACCT